TTTGAGCATATGATTTGTCTATCTCGGTTATCACACTACATGTTCTTTTAGTTATAATTTTTTTTTTTTTTTTAACATTTGCCACCACCAAAGTGAACTTGCAACCAGCATTTGAATAAGTACTTATTTGCTTTCTCTGAACAGTCTATTACTTAATGCACATGTGACTGGGTGGGAGCGCAATAGTAAGACTGAACCATGTATGTTTTGGATGCTAATAGTTACGCTATATTGACTCCTCATTACAAAATTTTGGTCTCCTTCAATTTCTCCAAATGAATAAATAAAGTAGAACATAAAATAGAAATGCTAAATCTTATGATGATGTTCAAATTTCATAATGTGTATTGATTGAGGCAGTTCAAGGGCTTGTTTTGGCTACTTTTGAGACACCCCCTCCCCATATGATCCTTCCCCTCCCCCTTCACAAAGAATGCCTCCATATGATCCTTTCACGTACACTTAATGTTTTTAAGGCGTTACAAGATTTGTGATTTGTACAATTGCAAGTAGGTTCGTATGGTCTTGAGTGCTCTTTATGGCTTGTTCTGTGATCTCATCAAGTTTCAATATTTTGGACAAAATGCTTACGCTTTTAGTTTCGCTTTCATGTGTCCTTTTGTTGCTGATGGTAATACCCTTGACCAGGCTCAGAGTGGACAGGAAGAGATGACAACAGATTTGCAAACTAGTGAGAATCAGAGTGAAGATGTTTCCAATATTATTGAGGGGATGGCGCAAATGGGATTGGACATGCAGCGAAGGCCTGAGGATGCTGAAATTGGAACTTCCTTTCCATAGACGTTCACCAAGGGTTAGATATATAGTCTTTGTCGTTCACCAAGGCCTCAGGCCAATTACACCTTCCATAGAACTAATTACTTCATCATCTATAGAAGCAATGAAGTTGCCCATACAATCCAGGCATACCCTTCACTCATCATTCTGCCCTGTTTAGCAACCCGAAACAACCTGGACCCAAGATTAGCATTCATAAGCGCCATTCATAATCTGGCGGTCATCAGCTGATGTCGAGATGAAACCGTGTAAGCTAGCTGAATCGGAGCCTTCTGGAATGCTTTAGTCATCTCCCCGAGAAATTGGGTGCTGTAATCACAGTCCTCATATAGAAACACAGTTGCATCCCATGCATATGGAAGCAAGAACTCTGGCTTGGACTGAGTCATTTGGAGAAGTTATGCTATAACTTTATCTTGTCTAACCGTTTGAGGGCCTAAAATGGTATGCACTTCTTCATTCTTCATCAGACATCAGATCAAGGTCTGCATCCCAAACAGAGAAAATAATGTTAAATTGCAATCCATCTCAAAACAAAGTCAATAAACCGATATTAATTTTTTTTTTGTATCAGAAACTATGATATACAGGAAAATGGAATGGTTTGTTAAGGTTTATGGCTTTGAAAAATAGGACAAATGATTGCCATCACTAGCTAAAGACATAAAGATGACCTGCAGATGCTACATCAAGTTCATCCTGAGCATCCGTTCCGTGAATAATCATTCTTGTTTGATAATCTGCATCCGCTGCGTAGAAGCCTGATAGCGACATTGACATTGATACATCAACCATAGAATCTATAGGAGACGTGGAATCAAGAATCAGGCCAATGTGGACATAGGTATAAGTTGATGCTGCAGTTTCATTCCTTCCATCTGCTGCCATTCCAGCTACCCACTTCCCACAAAAGCAAGAGTAGGACAAAGTTAGCCAAGGAATGGAAACTCCTAATTGCAAGCATTTTGAACTTGTAATTTCCTGTGCTAATGCTGCTAAACAGCCTGGAAAAGGGAAACAAAATCAAAAAATTGCTTATTCAAATAAGATAATAAGACGAGCTTAGGAGGAAAAATCTTAGACACGTACTCGACAATACATGAAGGACCGGCATTGGCCGAGAAAAAAATACATTTTCTCATCGATTTAGGATTGAGCCTTGAAAATTCCTTGGAACTTACTGCAGAATTTGTGACATTGGTGCTTACTACACAATGTTAACAAAATTTAGAGACCCTTCGGTCCTACTCCCTCCGTCCCATAATTATTGTCCAGTTTGAATTTTCATTTCTAGTGCAAATTATAGTAAAAGTGAAATCTCAAACTGGACAATAATTTTGGGACGGAAGGAGTATTTATTAGGCAAGACTGAAAAACTAAATAAAGAAGACCCGAAGGAGTAGTAAAGATTCATAATAATCTGCAAGATTCAAAAAGGACCATATGGTTTGAAAAGTAAGAACTCACTAACAATTTGGAAAAAAGGGACCATAAATATGTGAAGTTAACTCAGACATGAATATATGCCATAGAATGTAGTTGATGATAATTTATGATTTAAATTGAATAGTCAAAGAGGAAGAATGTATACACAAAATCATATCATTTCCGTTTTGTCATGTTTCTATGTTGGCCAAGCCTATCGCCCTCAGGCATCAACTTAATCTCGCTGAAATTTCTTATTCTTCATTTTCATTTTCATTTTGTCCAGAATATATGATTTTGGAGATAGATATCTCTATTTTCTTTTAATTTTCTGGTGCTAATCAACAAATATTGAGCTAAATTTGTACTTGAATAAAGCAATCTAAAGATTCTAAGCTGTGCTCACAAGTTTTTAGGTGCTAATCGATGTACAAGTGAGCCTTTACTAAGGACAGATGATTTGCTTCAAATCTACATTATGTTTGGATAAAAATTACCACTATGAACAACAGGAATGAAGCTTATTTACAACCTGAATGTTATTTACAGCTCCTTAATTCCGTCCCATTTTAATAGTCCGTTTTTGTTGAACTGTCTTAACTGCTGGTTGGTCTTTCTGTAACATTGGTGTTCCCAAGCTCAGACAGATTTATTTCTTCACTAGTAGAATTGCCCTGCTCAGACTCATTAACTCGTCCATTTCTTGCTGAAAAGTTTAAATCTTGGACTTGTCCGGATACTTGATTGATATGATCACTCCCTTCAGCTTCATCATCACTGGATGAACCTCCAATATCTGCATCATCAGGATGGGCAGTTGAGTGAATCCTGAATTCATTCCCTCGAAACGATAGGAAAATGAGAGATTTTTGGCTATATTTTGTTACTATATCTGTGAGTCTCTGGCCTATTGGTGTCTCTGAGCAGAACAGTGCGAAAACCAGTGCTGAGCCTATTATAATAAAAAGTCCTCCAAAGTCCTGAACTGTTAGCTTTGGGCTACCTGTGTTGATCGAATTGATTTGATTATTTGATGGTGAATAGGCTGGTCCAAAGTTTTTCAGCTGAATTGCAGTCAGGTTTACGCCTTCCGTCACTGCTAGGATTGCCCTTGAGAAATAGCTAACCAGTGGGGATCCTACTGGAAATGCCTGGATTACACATAGTAAGGAAATAAGATATTTGAGTAATTATATAATTCCAAGAAACTGCATGCATTCTTTTCAGCTATTTGAGAAAGTTATGAAATTGGTGTATAAATATTGGCATAGTCTTATCATCTTCGTGTTTCAGAATGGTGTGGTTTTCCTTCTTTCACTGATATCTATTCCTTCCGTCCCAAAATAAGAACGATGCTTGTACTAAACGGAGAGAGCTTCTCTGGTTATCATGATGTTGCTGTCATATTCTTATCTTATTGAACTCAAAAGATAGAAAGGAAGAGATAGCTTACAAAGGCAAATCCATCTGTCTTATACATTGGTCCAACAGTCTTATACTCAGAACCATACTTATCGAGAAACAGGTTCATGTAAGGGACTTCATCAAAGATAGCATCGATTCCTCCATTGGCGCTCCCTCGAACCATAGCATCATGAAATTCCTCAATGGTTGCGTATTCTCTGATCCTTGACTCATCAAAACCCCGACGATATATCAAGAAATTCCTCACAAAGCTACCCTCCTGAATGCCAATGCAATCACTACTTGAAAACCTGTAGGCTAACTGATTTACTGTAAATATTGCAGACAAAATTGCAGTGTAGCTTTGCATCAGGATGAAAGCCATTAGCAACCACACAACCATGACAAACCTCGACCATTTGTTCTTGATTGATTCTCCTGTTCAATAGCCACAAGAATGTACTATTACTTGAATCAACTGTCCTAACTAACCAGCAACTAATCATCGGTATAGAACACATAAAATGATTCTGTTATACTGTGTTGCAAGATTTGAAAGGCCCAAAAATTCTATTCAAATGTGCATTGGAAACAAGAACAACTTACTTTCAGGAAAAGCTAGAGCTGAGATTGGAAAGGACAAGCCAAGTTTCTGTTTCTTTCGCCCAATAGAACCCGAATTGCAGTTTACCCTGTGCTCCAGAATCCGAAGGACAATGCTGATACATATGCAGGTGCCAAATATTAATAGCCAAAGATCCCACCTAAAAGGCTTAACAAAGCTCCATATGTCTCTTTCTTTCCTGTTCCCAACCACCATAATGGCTCCTGGTTCAGAATATGGCAGAGTGAAATCAACATATTTTGCTCGATCAGCCAGAATCGTCGTGTCCCCAACAACCATATCATAGACCTGGTTCAAAATTAAAATGAGAGGAAGACATATATCTGAGTGATGCAACATTATAAGTTTTATTCATCAAATTCGAAGATGAATAGGGAAAAGAGAAAGCTGACCTCTCTGGGTATCGCGCTAAGAAGATCGTTGTACGTCCCATTACTGCGCCCGTTTTCATTTGCAAAAGGAATGAATTCATGATCTACATGGAAAGGTAGCAGCTGAAGTACAGAAAGGAATATGTCAATTGAATAACCAGTAACTAGAGTCTTGTTTGTCAGAGGATCTTGTGAAACATTGACAAATTGCGAAAATCCATCTTTCTTAGGAACTCCTACTCTAAGTCTCCCGGTTGGAGGAATGGCCCATCCTTTTGGCTTGTTTGTTGAATCTCCAGGCCAGATTATGCCTTTCAGGATGCTACTAGAAGTCAGAAATGTCTGCGTACCTTTTAAAGGTAATTTTCGCATAATGCCTCCATCAGGGGTCCAGTAACCAATTGGTCTTTCTGTTTCATAGATGTTGAATATCTCAAGTGTTGATGTATTTAACTGACCATTGATCAAGTGGAACTCTCCACTCAAGCCTTCAAATGTCATATTTTGTAGTTCAGCTAGAAGTTCTGGTCCAAATCTGGAGATTCTCAAGTCAAAAATTTCATTTCCATTATTAATGCCAGGATGCGCCCCCAAGAAGGCGGGACTGATTGGTCCAATCTTTTCTACTGCCATTGCCAGCGCCCAAATTGTATCATATGCCCATAAACCATGGACATTCAACTCCGCTGCTGAAGTTTCAGGGTTGGAATTACTCATCAGCACCATATTCTTTTTCCATCTGGTTTTGAAACTGTTTAAATTTTTTGACTTAGGTACATAAGGCCTTAGGCCTATCACACCTTCCATGGAATCAATAACAGCATCATCTATAGTATTCATGAAGTTGCCCATACTGTCAGTGATGATCCAGGCATACCCTTCACTCATAATTCCGGCCTTTTTGGCTAGAAGAAACAACCTAGATCCAAGGTTAGGATTCATATGCACCATAAACAGCCTAGTCTGCACGGCTATCAGCCTTTTCAGTTTAACCATAATGTCGCGGTCTTCAGCTGAAGTCGAGATTGGAACTGTGTATGCTAACTGAAACTGAACCTCCATGAAGGCATCTGTCAGCTTTCCAAGGAATTGGCTACCATATTCGCTATCTTCATATAGAAGCACAGCTTCATGCCATTCAAATTCTTTGCAGATAGAAGCAAGAGCTTTGGCTTGGTTCGAGTCATCTGGAGTAGCCCGGATGAAGTAAGGGCTTTGCTTATGCGGACTATATTGGCTTCCGGCAGTAAAGGATATGACAGGCACCCGAGCTTTTCCTCCAAGCTCTGCTACAAAACTGTCCTGTTTCAACATTTGAGCACCTAAAATGGAATGCACTTCTTCATTCTTCATCAGTTCAAGGGCTGCATTTAATCAGAGAAAATAACGTTAAACTCCAGTGATTTGCTTCAGCTCAAGATCATTTTTTGTCTCCTACGCATTATACGCTTCAAGAATGGTACTAGATATTATGACAGAGGCGTAAACAAGAAACAGATGAGATTTTTTGTACACATTTACAATCACTAGCAAAAGACATAAAGATAACCTGCAGATGCCACATCAATTTCATCCCGAGTATCCCTTCTGTGGATCATTAGTCTAGTTTGATAATCCGGGTGCGCCGCGTAGAAATCTGAGAGTGCCATAGAAACCGATAAATCAATCATGGCACCCATAGGGGAGGTGGAATCAAGAATCAGGCCAATGTGAACCGAAGTATAAGTTGGTGTTGCAGTTCCATTGCTTCCATCTCCTGATACAGAAGCTCCCCTATCCCACAAAAGGAAGAGTAGGACTAAGTAAGCCATCGAAAGGAAACTTTTGATCGAAAGCATTGTGAAAATGTTAGTTTCTGCACTAATTCTGCTAATCAGCCTAATGAGAAAAAAATTGATGGAAGCAAATAACCAGAGGACTGAAAAGATTGCAAGTAAAGTCGCAGACTAACTAAATTGTTAATATATTGGTTTCGACTGATAACTGATAAGTTGACCTGCAGAAGAAGTTTGATGGTTTCAAACTTGAAAACCAGTTGACTATGATTGATGGTTGAGCCTTGAAGGAGGAGTAAGAATGTAAGAAACATGCCTGGAAAATTCTTTGGAAACTTTCATGGAAATTTGTAAATTCCAACTTCTTCGTCAGACCTTAACTGCAGAATGTATGTTTGATTGAGTAAAATGAATCTGATGACTCAAACCAAAGAATATTCTCCTAAGTCCTCACATGCAAATGTAAGAAAGTAAACATTAGATTCTCATTACCAGTTCTTGAAATAGTAATTTTAAGGAAAGAAAGGGTACAAGTTGAGGGACAGATGTTCACTATGGATTGCTCCAAAGAATAAGGAGCGGGTTAGATCGAGAAACTATAAAAGCATATTTACTGTGACGCGAATTTTACAACAGATTATTTGACAACGCAAGACATGACGAGGCCTTGGGGTTTACAATTCTTAGCTCATCCTGTACATACTACTAATGTCACTGTCACGTACCGAAGTCAGCAAAAGGTAACGAAGATTCAAAACTATTATAGTCCATCAAAAATCAATTTTCAGACATTCCAAGGTTGGAAGGGCTAGAACTCACAACAAAGTGGATTATATATTAATAGCCCGATTAGTGATATCTTTTTTTTTTCCAATAGAATTAACAGTTAAAATGGTTAGGAAAAATATGATTATAACTAGAACTGGAAAAGGTACAAAAATATGATCTAAATGCTTGCAATGGTTAAGTTTGTCCCTTTTTTTTACATTAACAAATGTACAAGTTGAGAGTTGTGACCATAAATACTAGCAATAATGCAACTGTACATTATTATAGATTAATAAATACACATAGTACAAGAGAAATCGTGCTCTTTGTGCGTTATAGCTAAATCTAATGCTCTTTTCGTCCCAAAATTATTGTTCCATTTTTGGACGTAGAGTATCAATTTTTCACATCCAGATTAATACCCTCAACATCTTCTAGCTTTAGGTATTTTCATTAGAATCTACAATTCTACATTCACTGACTGGTTGGTCCTTCTGTAGCACTGGTGTTCCCAACCTCAGATAGTTGTACTTCATTAGTAGGATTTCCCTGCTGATCATCAATCTCATTCTCGGCCCCTTGAACTTCATTATCATGAGATAAATCTCCATTTTCGTCTTCAGGATGGACGATCGAGTTAACCCTTAAGTCATCATTCCTTCTGAATGACAGGAAAAAGAAAGATTTCTGACTGTAATATGCAACTACATTTGTGAGTCTTCGGCCAACTGAAGTCTCCGAACAGAACAGTGCAAAGATCATCGCAGAGCCTATTATGATGAAAAGTCCTCCAAAGTCGTAAGCTGTTAATTTGGGGCTCTCTGAGCTGATTGAATTGATTTGAGTATCACTAGATGAACTTAACTTAGACCCTAAGTACTGTTGCTGAAGTGCAGTCATGTTTTCGCTTTCTGTCACCGCTAGGATTGCCCTTGAGAAATGAACCACCAGTGAAGAATTCAAAGGGAATGCCTGTGAAATGCATGACAGTTGATAGTTAAAGTTCACTTCAGAACATGTCTCAGAAAAAAAAAAAGTAGAAGAAACTATAATGTAACACCATTTCGAGTGGAGTAGATGATTTAAACTATTGTCACAACATGAATCTTTTTTCATGTTTCAAAATGGCTAGCATTTATATCCTGTTTTGATTACATCGCCGATCAAGTTTTAGACTGTTGTATCAGACAGGAATAACATCATGAAGTTGCTGTTAGCTGCATAGTTTTTCTTTATCTGCTAGACACAAAGAGATTAGAGGAAGAGAGAACTTACAAAGCCAAATCCATCTGTCCTGTATGAAGGTCCAACTATTTTATACTCAGAACTGTACCGATCAAGAAACAGCTTCATGTAAGGGATTTCATCAAAGATAGCATCAATTCCTCCATTTCGGCTACCTTTAGTCATGGCATCGTGATAATCCTCAATAGTTCCATATTCCCTGATCCTTGAGGGGGCGATATTAAGACGTTTTATCACAAAATCCTTTACAAAGGTATCCATTTGAACGCCAATGTAATCATCATTTGAGAACCTGAAGTCTAACTGATCCACTGTAAGCATTGCAGATAAATTTGCAGTATAGCTTTGCATAACGATGAAAGACATTAGCAACCATATAACCATGACAAACCGCGACCATTTGTTGGCCATCAGGTCTCCTGTCAAAAGCAGATGGAACTGTATTGTTAGAATCCAATGTCCTTAGTTGCCAGTAACTAATCTTTATTCTTTAGCATGGATGGAACATATAATAAGTAAATGATTGACAGTTCAACCAAAGCGATATAATAATATGCAGAACATGGCTTTTCGCAATAATGATTAGGAAGCAAGAACAACAACTTACTCTCAGGAAAAGCTAGAGATGCAATTGGAAAGGACAAACCAAGTTTGCGTCTCTTAGGGACAGAAGCATCCAAACTGCTGTTTGCTCGATGCTCCAGTATTCGAAGGACAATGCTGATAAATATGCAGGTAGAAAATATCAGTAGCCAAAGATCCCACCTAAAAGGTTTAACAAAGATCCAAATATCTCTTCCTTTCCTGTTTTTGACCACCATGACAGTTCCGGTTTCAGAATAAGGCAGGGTGAAATCTACATATTTTGCTCGATCAGCTAAGATCGTGGTGTCTCCAACAACCATATCAAAAGTCTGGTTCACATTTGGGAGGAAAGGAAACTCAATATCAGAATGATTCTGTAACTAATAACTGTGTTTTTCACTTTTCTTTTGGGGAATCAAAAGATAAAAAAGAGAAGGGAAACTCACCTTGTTTGGAATTCCATACAGAAGGTCATTGTATGATCCGTTACTGAATTCGCTTTTATTTACAAAAGGAATGAATTCATAATCAATTTGGAAAGGTAGCTGCTGTAATACAGAACAGAATATAGCGATCGAGAAACCAGTAACTTTAGTCTTATTTGTCTGAGGATCGTTTGAAACATTGACAAATTCCATAAAACCATATTTCTTAGGAACTCCTATCTTTAAAATTCCAGTTGGAGGAATGGCCCATCCTTTTGGCTTCTTTGTTGAATCTCCAGGCCACAAAATGCTCTTCAACTCATTAGTAGAAGTTGAATATGTTGGTTTACCTTTTGCAGATAATGTTCGCATAATGCCTCTATCAGGGGTCCAGTAACCAATTGGTCTTTCTCCTGTTTCAAAAACATTGAATATCTCAAGCGCTGAAGTTGCTAACTGACCATTGATCATGCGGAACTCTCCAGCAAGCCCCTCCAATGATATGTTCTGTAGTTCATTCAGAAGTTTTGGACCTAATTGCGAGTGTCCCAAGTTAGAAATATCACTCCCATTCTTGTTCTCATCATTCGCCTTAAAGAAGCTTGGATTCACAGGTCTAATCTTTTCTGCAGCCATTGCCAGTGCCCAAACTGTATCATATGCCCATAAACCATACACATTCAGCTCTGCTGCTGGATTTTTTGCACTGTCTGGATTCATCAGAAGCATATTCTTTTTCCACCTGACTCTGAAATTGTCAAGATTCTGTGACTTAGGAACATAAGGCCTTAAACCTATGACACCTTCCATAGAATCACTAGCATCATCTACAGAACTCATGAAGCTGCCTATACTGTCCGTGATAAGCCACGCATACCCTTCACTGATCATTCCGGCTACTTTGGCTAGCCGAAACAACCTAGATCCAAGGTTAGCATTCATATGCACAAGAAACACCCTAGTTTGTAAAGTGACAAGCTTTTTCAGCTCTTTCATGATGTGCCGGTCTTCAGCTGCGGTCGAGATGGGGGCCGTGTATGCTAGCTGAATCTCATCATCTTGGAACACCTTTGTTAGCTTTCCAAGAAATTGGCTACCATAGTCACTGTCTTCATACAGAATCACAGCTGCAAGCCAACCAAATCCCTTGCAAATAGATGAAAGAGCTCTGGCTTGGTTTGAGTCATCAGGAGTAGTCCGGACAACGTAAGGGCTTTGCTGATAAGAAACCGACTGGCTTCTGGCAGTAAAAGATACAACAGGTACATGAGCTTTTCCACCAAGTTCTGCAACAAACTTATTTTGTGTGAACATTTGTGGGCCTAAAATGCTATGCACTTCTTCATTCTTCATCAGTTCAATGGCTGCATTCCAATCATAAGAAAATAGAATGTTAACTTTGTTTTCCATAGAACAAACTAAAATGAATGATGACAATGATCAGGCCTTAAAACTAACCAGCAGATGCTACTTCTAGTTCCTCCTGAGCATCTTTTCGGTGTCGAATCAATCTCGTTTGATAATCCGGATGCGCTATATAAAAATCCGAGATCGCCATTGAAATACATGAATCCACCATAGCATCCATATGGGATGCGGAATCAAGAATCAGACCAATGTGGACAGAAGTATAAGTTGGTGCAGCAGTTTGATTACTTCCATCTCCTGTTGCTGCTGCTGAAGCAGCTCCCACATTCCATAAAAGGAGGAGGACTAAATAAGCCAATGAACAAGCACTTTTGATGGAAAGCATCATGAACAGGTTAGTTATCATGAGCTAGTGATTGTCACTATTAAAACAGAAAAGTGGCGCTTATCTTTTTGTAGCTTTTGGTGTTCATACATGAGCAAAACAAGAAAAGATTGATAGATTATGGTAAAGGGTCCCTTGGAAGTCTTTTAGAATCTTGAATATGATGTAATGAAAAGAGTATAGAAGCAATTAGCATTGGACCTAAACTCCATTTTTCTATATAGTTCCTGATTTCTTGTTACCCACCTAAAACAGCTTCAGTTGACTTAGATTAAAGTTTGATTGTTTCAAACTTTTTCTATTGATTACTTGAACTTGAAGCTGTAAGAATGTACAAATTTCTGAAAACTGCTGAGAAATTATCATTTTCCAGGGTCCCCCTCCAGGCCCGCTTTGAAGTTTCTTGGAAACTAACAAAGGAAGAGTTTTGTTGGGTCCATGGAATTGTAATTATTTCACATGATACCTTAAGGATGAATATGGTTGGATAGGGAGATATTTGTACATATATGCCACATGTTAGATTTAGATATATTAAGGGAAAACTATATCGAGAAAATTCAGCGACTTAAGTTGAACACGATTCGTTTAGTTAAATCAAAATTGTTAAGAACATGTTACTATCTCTATTCACAGTTGGAAAAGTCTTCTCAATGTTGAACAATCTCTGATTGCAATTCCTTTTATCATTTCTTCATGAATTAATCCTGAAGAATCTTTAGAAGTTTGAATCGTGATTTTCCTGTCAGTTTTAGTGCATCCCCAAATCCAGAGAATCCACAATATCATGAGTATATAAAAAAAGATACTTGATGTTGAGTTATGGAATTCGGTTAGTTAAAAACGATTGTTCATGTTTAACCAATTTCATTAATCATTCATTTAATTGAATTTCTCTAACTAAGATGGTTGAATGAAAATTCAAAGGAGAAATGTCCACCACTGAATTGGAATGGAATGGAATGGAATCCAAATTGTGGCTGGTATGGTTTTGAGATCCCACAGGTCAACATTCATAATGAAGACTCAATATCATATAGAGTATTGTTTTTTTGTTATTTTCTGTAGTTTTGAGTAATTGTCAATCACAAATCAAATCTCAAAAAGATTCCTAAGCCGTGTGAAACGACAGGAACCCACAAGAAGAATAACTAAGTTAACGTATGAAGTAAGTTTACTCGCTTCCGCGTTTATGCATGTCTTAAACCATTTTTTAGAATCTTAACTAAATGGAACTTTGCTGACTATAGAAATGTAACATTTCTCCTCCTATAAAATCACGAAAATCAGATTTCGCATCCGAACTTGTCACCCCGAACTTACCTAAGATGGTTTACCTCATACTGGCAGTGGACATAGATTTACCCATCTCTAGTGGGGTTCCCGATGTTACCAGAAAAAAAAGAAAAAAAAAAAAAAACAATCATGAAATCAGAACGATCATGATCTATCGATTTAACTTTAATACTAACATATTTGCTGCGGGATCAGATTTTAAGAATCTGACCGATCAAATTAACCATCGTAGTTATACGAAGTTAAAAATTCCGGCAAGTATAATTATATGGTTGGCTCAAGTTAGTTGGTTTCTCAAAAAAATTGGTATATGTAATGTTTGAACAATTTTTTTTTTTGGGTACAAATGTTTGAACAAAAGTTAACTCTTCACTTTATCACATTTAACATTTCCCCAAAATGGAAAAATCAGAATTGTTCAACACCAGCTACCAAGATTAACAATTTCTGAATCTCCACAACAATTTAGTTACGGGTTGGCTGTTGATGCGTTTATCTACATCATCTAGGAAAGCCTCTTTTTTCCCCTCTCAAAAAGGGGCAAATTAAATGGAAAACCACCAATGGCAAATTATGGATTTACAATGATTACACTCATAGGGAATTGGCATTAAATCCGCTGGGATACACACAATTTAGTCTCCATAAACCATAACTGATTGAGAAGGTACTCTCTTAATTTCAACAAACGTCGAGAAGTCCTTGTTAATTGGCTGTTTCCATGGCTCACCATCCATCTGCATGTAGGCTTCCTTCCACTCTCCTCCCCTGAGCTCAAAGCGAATTGACGACGCCTAGACAAACGGCATATATAGTACTGAATTTAGTAGTGTATGCAAGAATAAGAGATACATACAATCCATCCCGTAACCAACCAGTGTGAGTTTAAACACACTATCACTATTTGCAGTACCTGAGCTATATGTTTGGCAGAGATGAGCTCAGCCATAACCATTGAAGCATGCCATCCATGTTTCAGGCCAAAAATTTCTAGCAGACCATCGTCGGCATGAGCTTCCACAAAACCTTTCTGTAAAGTATTACAATGAGCAGAAAGGAAGCATATTAGCAGCGACCACACGCCCTTCACAGAGGGCCTTTTTCATTGAATCATGAATTATAAAAAGAAAGCATGTTAAGAGTATTTTTTTTTCCAGATATTCAATCAAACTTGTCACAGGACTTGTGGTAACATGACCAAGCAATATGGAGTTCAAGAAGATGGCACACTCGTTAATCATCTCCAGGAAAAGCATAAATTGATGCGGCATCCATATGCCATTCCATTAGTTACTTCTAATTTTGATGATCACGATATCTTCTGTCATGTAATTGACAAGTTACTGAAAGAATTTGCGTACATGTCCAAACCCATTTCCTAATTTAAAACTCTAAACCCTAAAGCCATTTCCAAAAGTAAAACTCTTCCATATTTTTAATTTTGTTTATTTGGTCAGCCGTCCCACGTTTTAGAAAAGAAGAAAATGCTCCGGCATAACAAAGCAATGATACAAAAGTGACACTGGCATTGTATTTACCTTTTCCAAATAGTCTGGCTTCAAATTTCCCCACGGATTTCTGCCACTTCCATAGCTAGGAAGATTTAAAGCAACTACAGACCTAACACTGCAATAAGATTTGAAATATGAGATACATAAACCAGAAAAATGACTAAACTTTCCTTCAGAGTCCAACTCTGACATTAAACTTTAATACGAGAAACCAGATCATACTTGTCAAAACAAAGTATGCCATGCACTTCTCGTTCTAGAACTGTTTACTGCAAACTGCAAAGATCCCCTGCTAATTTTTTCAACCAATGATTCAATTACCTGGAACAGTTCTATCACCTACTGGCTGGCTACAGAAGATGCTAAAACAACTTGTTCGATGCCTTTCCCATCTTATTTCACTTACAATAATTTTTCCGTGTATTGAAAATGAGAATCTTGAGAAACCACAGAACAAAAAAATGGCTGATGGTCTTCTGTTTCATTCTGAATATGAAAAATCAAAATTTTGTAAGCAGGTTCAGAATTCACTTTTCTAGTGGTATATTCTCTTTCTGAAGATCTCATTTTTCAGTAGTAGCATATTACCTGCCTCTCTGCTGTAACTAGCGAGCCAAGAATTTTAGAGTAGGCAAGACCTTAAAACCCTAAACCCTTGAATTACACACTAAAATACAAACCGACACCTCAGTGGTCCATGAGAATAAGTACAGTTAAAAATTTTAGAGCATGACAGAAAACTAGTTTACAATGGACAAACCATGTTTAACATCAGCACTATAGCAGTGACATAGAAAGGTATAAAAACAAACCTTGCAGGAATTGAAATTTGCTCCCAGTCCGAGCAATTGACCTTTTTAATGTGTATTCTCAAAATGTTCTTCAGTCCTCTACATTAAAGAAGTGAATCGAGAAACATCAGGTAAATAAATATAATGAGGCCAAAATAAGCCTTCAACCAAAAAAAGTTTACACATACACTAACTGAAAGTACATTGATGGTTAATCAACTAAAAAACACCAATATAGATTTCATATGACCTTTATGACTATTAACAGTTGATAAGTAAATCAGATCAATTTCAAAACATGTTAAAACTATAATTCCTAATATTAGGTTCAACAAATAACCATCCTGCATTTGCATGACGACAGAGAATGAATAGAAGATGAGGAAATGCAGATATATGACTTCCGAGCAGAAAATGTCCAACAGTTTAGTAGCTGAAAGACAGCTAAGACCTAACTAACTACCACCCACACAACTAAACAACAGAGTCTTTTTATTGACATTTTATTCACATGACAACAGGGGAAAGCCACTTTTACTGGGGAAATACTGCAATTCAACTCCATCTTCGTATTTACATAAGAAGAAAATGCAGATACTATAAAACTTCTTCTACTGGAGTAAGATGACAGTTAGCAAAAATAAGATGCCTTTGATGCACAAATCCACAAGCTATCGAGGGCAGAGAATTGTAAGTATTTTTATACAAGAAAGATTAGCAAGCAGTCTCTGAAAATAAAACCCACCTCAAACTAGGATCACTACTGCATGGGGTAAAGAACCATCCTTGCTTGCAACTATATCCAGAGTATATCAACTGTATTTAAAGGTGTTGGTGTAAGCATTAAAGCAGGAATAGATTGAGACAATAACAGGAAGACATTCCAAATTCAACAAAGAGGTGAAATAACATTCACATTAGAAAGCACAGCTCCATAAAGAGGCTTCAAAGAACAGTGACGTAATCAGAAATATAAATGAGAAGATAAAAATTTCCATCTTCCAAAAAAACTGAAAGACCATTTGCAACCTACATAGCCTGAAGGGCACAAGAGACAGCATTCTTGAGTTGAAATAAATGAATAGTAGGCTGTTGGTAATTCTTGAGATACAAACACAAAGTAAACAATAAAAGTTTACACCATGTACATCTGCAATAAACTAAATGAATGATAACAGAAACAAAATAGTTGTCAAAGAACAACAGAACAAGGTTATTTTATTGGCAAACTTGGAAAAATCCATGTCCCTATTGGACACAGCTAAACCAACTCATTAGGCAGCCAGTTTTCAATAAGGTCACTACATAAGTAAACTTCAGCGGGAAAGCTCAACAGGCAAGTGTCAACATGCTATTTAGAAAGAAAAAAGACAAGAATATAAAAGTTTAGTTATTTGTCACAGTATAGAAAATGAAGGAATGAACTAAATTAGTGTACATTACAGACATACAGAGGGAGTATTAGGTTGGAGAGAGAATCAATAGCATCATACATATAGTTCAGTCTATCAAAGTTATCTGATATTGGCCAAAATTCCCACTTCCCCATTTCCTAACAATCAGTAAATAGTAAAGATGGTGGATGGGAAAAGGAAAAAAGAAAATATGAACAAGATAATGTCTGAGTTTGCTCACTCAATACAAAATGACTTTCAAAAGTTCACAGGCACAAAGAGATCCTCTCAGACAGCTAAAGAATAAATCTAGAGATGACCCACCTTGTTTGAAATAGGACCTTGTGCAAGATAAGGCTTTTCATTGCGCAAATGATGAAAGCCATATGCAACCTGCGCATCCATTCCTGCATTCAAATAGAGAAGTACATAATTAATAAAGAGCATCTAATGGTCATATAGAAGTGTATCACACTAATTCACCACTGAAGCTGATTTCATACATCAAGATGCGTTCTAAAACTCTGGGTTTCTTTTCAAATTGTCTTGAATTTACATCTATAGTTCTTTGATGAATAGGGAGAAAGGAAAGGTACTCACAAAACTGAAAACAAATACATCCTTTTCTGGAAATAATCCACTACGTTGAAAAATATTTGAAAATATATAAAACTAAATAAAAGATACTCATAACTTCATTAAACATAGATTCAGTTGAAACTTGAAACCAAAAAATCAAAAAAGAAAAAAAAAACGAAAAAAAAAAAAGTTAAACACACCCCACAAGTTGCATTTTGTTAATATGTTCGTATGCTAGAAACAGCAATAGCATTCACAATCATATTTCTGATAAATTATTGTTGTGATAAATACCTATGCTAAAGTAATTATAGAACACCCCCTGATAACAAGACATCTTCTCAGGCTGCTCCCCTTCAATTTCCAAACCCTTCACAACAAAGAACAATCTTGAATTAAAGCCAAAGCGATTTTGATGTATGTCAACTAACTTTCATAAGGAAAGGAACTTCAAACAGAGAGTATAAACAAGTATTTCAAATAGTATAGTATCCAAATTTTCAACTGATGCTTAGCAACACAAATAAAATGTGATTATCCGTGATTTCAATGGAACACACATTTGTTCCCAAAAGGAAACAGGGGGGAAAAATCCTCATAAACCCCTAAAAGGGAGATGATGGAAAATAGGGGGGGAAAGACCAACAAAAAGGAGAAATGCAATCGTATGACACAAGAGCCCATGAAGTAATGCCATAATCAAAAGGTTCACACTGCATATTCACAGTTCTTCACTAAGAATGGTATTGTTCAGAACAGCTAACTAAAACAAATGTACAATGAGAAATAATGGAGTGATGTATTTCCCGTAAACTGGGATCATAACAATTAGTTAACAATAAGTTCCCATTTCAGAATCACCAACTCCGAGATGGAGTTTCATGATGAATGGCATTTGTTTAACCCTTAGACATGCAAAGACTCGTGAATTGAACTGATGCAATCGTTACCCAAAAAGGTGATAATTGTCCAATGTGCAAGATCAACCAAGCCTGGTTTTTAACATTAAAAAAATATGCTCATCACATTGATAGGAATTCTGAGAAACTAAGCGTAGCAGATCCATACTGAACACAAAAGATGAAAAAGACTGGATTGATGAAATCATTACGAGAGGAATCTAGTACCAGAGAATATAGTCCAGCAAGAAATGAAACCAGATACTGTAGGAAAATAGCTTTATTTCAATCAAATTTATCAACCTCGTCAAGAGATATCTCTTCACACTGCTTCAAAGAATACGGTGTCTGCAACGGTTCACCAGCAGGCATTGAAAGAACAAGGCGCCAACTGCAAATCAAAATACTTTTAGACCAGTATTCTAAACGAGATAGATGACGAAAAGGATAGGCTTGGATAAATATTCATGACATCACCATGATAAAAAGCAGCAAGCACAACCTATAGTACTAAAAGAACTCACCTATCGAGATGGCAAGTTGGAGCATTTGAAACCCTGTCAAGGGTTCGCTTAATGGCTGATTTCCAGTTAAAAGGAAATGAACCCCCCTGAGAACCAAAAGAAGACAATCTCAGAAAGGACAGAAGAAAAATTCCAAAACCTGAAAGTAGACCAAGAGGAATGCTTACCCAACCAAAACTCCTTGAGAGATCATTCCCCGTACCAAGGGGAATTATAGCGGTGGCAGGAACCGGCTCCCGGGACTCTCTATACAGCTCACCTAGACAGCCAAGCACCCACCCTACTGTTCCGTCACCACCAGCTACCTGCCAAACTAACCTACCAACTTAGGACTCCATTATAGACCACAAAATCAGACGCTAATCGAGCATTCACTTATAGTTACAACCACTAAATACATATATATCATACACAAGTTGACAACAGAATAATTTCAAACCAGCATTGTCCTAGAACTTGAAATTCATTTAAAAATATCCATACCACTACTCTCAACTTCTCCCGGATTGTCTTGGCACAGGTATCCCCAAGATCAGAAAACTTCTCCAGGCATCCCAAGCCATACTGAACAAACTCATGAGGCCTCACTTCGGAAAGGTCGTAAACCTGAGCATGTTGGAGAAAGAAAGTTTACTCCACCATAATATAAATAAAAAACAACACCCCCAAGCCTCCTTGTGACACACACAGAGAAAGAGAAAGAAGGAAACATTAACAGAACCATGCAAAGCATAGTTTTGCTACAGAAGACATGTACACAAAGATAAAGAGTAGATATTGATGAAACGAAATTATGATATCATAAAGACCAGCCGAGAAGGGAAGTCTACTGCACAGGTTTCTTACTCAGAAGATAGGTGGGGGTGAATAAAAATTATATAACATTGCCTTGACTTTTGAGCAGTTATGATGCCCGGCCTTCAATAACCTTTACTTGAATTCTTCTTTATATTATGCCCGAAAATTGGAACTGAAACAGCATCCTCCTAAACACTTCGTTTTAGTAACAACGAAATTCATCAAGGCAGATTACTATCTCAGTTACGCATACTAATGAATCAAGAAAAGTAAGCAGATTCCAAGGTACTACTATTTTACACTAATGCAGATGTGGAATAATACTATTGAACAATGTACAAAATGTCAAAAAAAAAAAATGTTCAAGATCTGAGAAGAAACGACGGTGAAAGGTTCAGCATGCTCACTCCATCTTAAAGGAAATAATAAAGTACTCTAAAATAAAACTGACAAATTTCAAATACAGAGAGACTATAATTAAATTCCAAGCAGTATAACAGCACCATAATTAGCTAAAAAAGTGAGCTAAATCCATATCTAAGTAGATAAGCTGAATCACAAAAAATTTAGAATAAAGTAGAAACGAGCAAAGGCAATTTCTATTGATGGCTGTCAGAATTCTACCTCTTTCAGTTAAAAGATAAATCCTTTAGTAATGCAACTTTATAAATGCCCAAAGCTTCATTAACAGCCGACAATAATTCAACTTCCTAGTGTCCAGAACTTCATTTAACTGCAGGTAAAGATCTACCACTTTATAGTAAAAAATCTGTTAAGTACCCTTGGTACATCAAGGCCCTAAGAATTTTACTTTTTGAATTATTTTAGACAAATGAAAACTACCTCCAAGCGCACAAGGAAAATTGCCATCACTTTGCATTCTATATCCCTACAGGAAACGTACCATTCATGCATCCCAAAAGGAATAATTAACATATGAAAAATAAAAAATGGTTCCTCAAGCTAACTTAATCATCCAAAAACCAGAAACATTCCTACACAAAAAAAGGCATAACTACATACAGATATACTTAAACCCATCTGACAATTGTAGTAGTTAGTGCATAAATTAACAAGAAGGAAAGGGAAAAAAAAAAATCTAACAAATCATTCAAATGACATGAATGAATATAAAAACATGAACCAACAGCACATGTCAGAAGTATTCCCACACCCTTATGGGCCCCACCAAACCTTAACACGATCAAAACAGACAGAAAAGCACGCCATACAGACACACGCAAGTCCAATGTTAAAGAAATTTCAAAACGAAAAATTGGGAAGAAAAAAAAAGAAGGAAGAAAAAGTCAAGTGAGAAATGTAAGAACAAAAAAAGAAAGACCTGTTCTTCACCCATTAGAACTTGCAGCCGGCCCTTGAGCTCCGGCCCGTGACGGCCACCACTCTTGGAATTAATAAACACGACGAGCGGTCCCTCCGGCGGGTCGGCCGGCTCAGCTCCGGCAGCATGAGCGGCGTCGAAATGAACCTTAGTGGAAGGAGCATTGACATCTTTAGCCAAAATAGCTTCTTTCATGGCCAGCCTAATGTATTCCGGGATAGTAACCTTCCTCCGGAGCTCCTCCTTGGGGATCCGTACACCCGCCAGGGTACAGCCCTTCAACGACTCAATCACCGACGACCTGCCTGAGGCCGCCGCCGGCGGGCCGGTGGCGGCGAGTGCTTGCCGTGATGAGCTGTCTCTCGCCGAGGAGGCGGCGGCCGGTGTCGTCGTCCCCGGTGAGGCCATTAATGATGTTTAAGTGCTAAAGTTACGATCTTGCCCCTCGGAAGTCACACTATTCCAGTTTTCCCTTCTTCTTCTTCTTTGTCCTCCGGAGGAAAAAATAAATAAATTTCCCAAATCCCAATTCGCCGTTTTATTTAACGGCAGAAAAGATGATGTAAATATGTAATTTTGGATGGGGAATGAATTTCCAGGGAATGATGTAATGGGCTGTCTGTACGTGGGTTGTGGGTTGGGTGGGTATCTATATATATTGACGGCAGTTACGGTGTGTATTTTAATTTTAAGTACGTGCATTACAGTGTCCACGACGGAGCGCGTGGAGACACGGGTGATGGGAGGGGCCGGAGAAAAGAGGAATTTGAAAGAGAGAGATTGGAGTTTTGGACAAATGGACAATAAACAAAATTTTAATGAGAGTTGTTTCGCTCTGTAAAGTGTTCCCTATTCGTTGGTATTATTTTTTTTTTATTTTTTCTTTTGAAGTATATGAGGATAAACTATTAAATTGCCGCTGGCAAAAGGACGGATTTACCATCGTTGGCACACAGTTGGGTTATTAAAAAAAAAAAAAAAACCCAGTTCTAGACTCTAGATCCTTAAGAGGGGCAAAATACCAAGTTGTAGATGTTAAAACTTAAAAAGATTTGGTATATGTAACCTTTTTTAGTTACGTGTTCGTCGTTAGGATTTGATGAACTATTCGTTCATAAATTTTTAATTGGTATTTAGATATCAACGGTACGTGTTATGACTTTGATACTTTATAATGTTACGTAAGTATTATACAAAAAAATGATACTCCCTATTTATTTGATATTGAACTCTGATAATGTGAGATAGAAGCAGATCAAAATGACTACAGTCTTCATGTGCTATACTCTAGAGCTTATACTATTTTACCTGGCTTTCCACTCGCAATTTTTGTGGTGTTCGATTAAATGGATCATTGGTTTGGTTGTAATGTTGTCGCTCCATTGTGAGTACAGTGGACATGCATCTGTCGAAGGACCCAAAGATGCAATCAAGATTTGGTTGTTTGTTGAAAGAGATTTTAGTAATCATTCATGCAGACTAAATTATATGAAGCCACGGGGGATATTGGCAGTTACAAAGAGGGAAAAGAAGGTGTTATGTATGTCCAAATTTAGATTAAAAGAAATGAATAAATAAACTTATTTGTGATATTAGTATATTGGATTTTGATAGATTATAGGAGTAGTATATATCCTACTATATTAGAAACAAAAACCTCCCTTTCAAACAGCTCATATGATTGCCACGTGGCATGTAAAAAGTATTAAATTGCCCTTTTGTCTAACCATAACTAAATTACTAAATTTTCCTTTCCACTTTATGTGACACGTTTTTTTTTATTTTATTTTTTCTTTATGTTTCATTCAACTAGAGTAGTTTTTTAAATTGAATTGATCAATTAGGTTTTGTTACAAAGTGTCAACTTTGTTTTAAGCGTATACCCTTCGGATGAAGTTTATTACAAAACTATTAAAAATCTCCAAAACTAAGTATTGATTTGGCACGACCAATGGAGAACATCAATAAATCATCTTACTAATATTTAAATTTATTAGGATGCATTTATATTTTATTTAACACTTACTTCAACACATTTATTCGATTAAGGCTTTTTATATTTAATAAGTAACACTTATAAAACATTTCTAAAACATACATGGCGAAATACAATTTTTTTTTTTTTGTGAAATACAAATATTTATATGATCACACTTATAAAACATTTCTAAATCCTTCAAACATTTCTAAAATATATCGCTACAAATACAAAATTTTATTTTTTTTCAAATATAAATATTTCTAAGATCTACAGATAGATTGGGCCAGGAACGCGCATTGCACGACCAGACATCACTAGTATATTGAGATAAGAATAATCCATTTGAGATTTTTTTTTTTTTTTAAGGAAAAGAAAAGTGAAATATGTACGATGGATAAAACAGGAACAATATTTCGTTTTAATTTTTCAAGTTTCATGTGGTTTATTTATTTTTTAATTAATTACAGGGTGGAGTTTTGATGTAAATCATGTAATACGTAGCAATACACATGATAATTTTAATACATGTACAACGACGACTTGTTATGATGAAGATCTCGAGTCTTGATCTGTGATGTGCTATGAAATGAATATTATCACTCTGTGGCGGAGCCAGGATATTGGTTTAGGGGGTAGGTGCGAATTACAATCAACAGAATAAGTATTAAAAATTGAAAAAATATATTAAATGTTAAGAATTACTAAAATATAATTCTTTCTTATATTGAAAAAAATCTATACCAAATAATTTTTTCACTTCATTAGCATTTTACATTTTTTCCCCCAACTAGAAGCTATTATATCATACAATAGTTTGAATTTTTTTTTTATTCTTTTTTTGGTATACTAGAACTCGACGATGGAAATAACCACTAGGAAAAGAATCAAATGTCATGTAAGACTTTTTACTAAAATTTATTACATTTTAATTTAATCTTTACTGTGTACTTTCAATCATAAATACAGATTTTTAGTGTTAGAAAAAGGGCAATTTCTAGAATTAAAAATTCAAGATTTGACAATTTCTTTTGAAAAGTAAAACGTTCAATACTAAAAATAGCCTTATTTGAAGTGAAAGTGTCCTCCCTTGTTTTAGCACCAACCCGCAGTCCTTTTACAATTTTACTTTTCGATTAAGCTTTTAGCCTATAAAAGTAGAACTTACTATTGACCGTTTACTTCTATGTAGTAATTTTAAAATTGGAGTTTTATTACAGTCTCAAATGTATGTCATTCAAATTAATTTGGACTTGACAATGAACTTTTTATTCGTATCATGACTGTTAATAGATTGTACATCCTTATCAAGTAAATATGAGATTTAATTAAAAAGAAAATGAAACTTTTACTTTTTAAGATCTTTGTATTCAATAATCATATGAGTAACATATACCATTGTTTCAATTTTTTTTCTACGTAAATTAAGCCAAAAGTGAATGTAAAATTTTGGAGGGAGTGCAAAATTGACCCATTACAATTATTTCTTTAGTAATTATTTAAAACACTTAAAAAAAAATATAAAATCGGAGGGAGCGCGGCCGCACCGGCTGGCCGCCTATTGGCTCCGCCACTCACCCGAAGATGAAATGCATATATCATCAGGGGAGTTTTGGGGTTTCTTTTTGTTAGATCTTGCTTGAGTTTTAGTCCAGAAGGAAGTGATTGTAGAATTTGATAAATAATAATAATAAAAGTATTTTGTACTGTGATTAACGATAATCAACAGCTACAAACGGTTTGGAATGAAAGATGGGGATATTGTAAAGAATCAAAGAGTTGCTTCATCCATCATGGATTGATTAATCAGTGGCAGTCACGTTGGTTTTACTATTATTCCTTCTTAGGAGGTCTCTCATTATACCTTGTCCGTAGTTTGATTGTAAACCTTCATATCATAGCATTAATAAAAGAAGAAAAGTCCGAATCTCAAAAAATAGTATGCTTTCCATCTTGAAATTATTGTCAGTTTGAATTTTCAGTTGTCGTATAAATTAAATTAAAAATATAAATATAAATTAGACAATAATTTTAGAAAAAGTAAAAAGTTACGAAATAATTCGTCCATCACGTGTCAGCTTTTACCCCTCGCCCCCAAAAAAAATCCAATCGTGTGATTAGGTTATTTTTTAGGGTTAAAGTTTAAGAATCATTCTCCCTCTTTCGAATATATACTTTTCTTAATTTTTTTAATGAAAACATTTCTTAATTTCCGCCCTTTTATACTTTCCTTTTGTAGCACTTAATTTCACTGTGTTATACTTTTCCTCTTCTAGGAGTTCCCAGTCTTCCATGCATGTCGTAAAAGAATATTCCAGAAAAGATTAAATTATATACTAGTAGAAGATTTGTATAACTATATCTATAGTTATTCCTCCCATCTAGAGTTTAAAAGAAAAAACAATAATTTGGTTTCACTAATAGAAATATCAAAAGAATCAATACAAAAACTAGTCAAACAAAAATCTATAGTTTGTCGTATGTTATTTTAGGAGTGTGCATATTTTATGTAGTCTTGAAAGTGGTCTTGATCCACCCCCAACAGGGCTTCTCAGTTGATGAATGCAAATTTGAAGTTTGAACACTGAATAGCAGCTCAAAAACTAGCAAAATGTTAGGATCGTGTTTTCTTGCGGTCAAAGTATTGAATTTTGACCATACCAACCATGTAGTTCTATGTTTGGTATTTTTTTTTAATTTTATTTTATGCGGCTTTCCAAATTTTTGTATTAATAACTGCCGTCTTAACATATTTTTTTGTATTTTTAACACCACTTTTTTACGTTATAAATAGGAAAAATACTTTAAAATACATACTAAAAATGATAAATACATAAATAAAATGATTTTTTTTTTGTTATACTATTTTAGCAGAAAGGTAAAAAAAATTATTTTATAACAGTTTCCGCGGAAGTATTTCTTAGAAACAGTTGCATGTACAATTAGGAATGCACTGTGCTGCTTCCTTTCCTTGTCCTTCAACTTTTGCACAACACAAAATGATACTTTCATTAAAGTTTTAAAGAATATTTGAATCAGCTTCCAAACACGCCAAAAATGTTTGGACAATCTCTCAAAACCAAAAAAAATTATTCTAACTCTTAAACACAAGTTCTCAATGCAAAATAAATATTACCGAAGAAATATTTTAACTCATATTTTAAAACACCTCTTAGACATTATTTTTAAACGATTTTTACCCACCTTCATCACAGCAGCCAGCCGTAGTGAAGCAGCCCGACAGTAATAAAGAATAATTTTTGAATCAGCTTTCAAACACGTCAAAGAATATTTTATTTATACTGTAAATTATATTAAAAATAAAATCTATTTTGGAATGTAAAGAATACTACGTAAATTTCTCAAAAAAAAAAAGAGAGAAAAGAAAAAGAATGCTACTCTTTCTCTTTCAAAATAAGTGTCGTTTTAG